AATATTGCAAATTTCAGGTCCACACAGGAAACCTCGATGCCTAAACTAGCACACAAGCAACCTTTACCAAGTTAAAAGAATCTGTCTTCTAAATACTTCCTCTGCAGAACAAATGAAGAGATCGGTTCCCAGAGGTCATCCGATTCAAGAAAAAGCAGCTGACCATGCGCAAAATATTGTTGTCCAAGAACAGATTACTATTTTGTCCTTTTTATTCCTTACCTAGGCTAATCACTGGCTTTTACATTCCCAAAGGAAAAGCTGAAAAAGTGTTAGGAAAAGTTCACCCTCTGTTTTATGCTTTAGGACACTCCAACTCACTGCAGCATCTCTAGTAGTTGAAAGCTCACAAAAGCAACTTTCCTTAAAACTATTTTCCTTCACAGGACAGTATCAGAAAATACAGAGACTCCAAAAACCTACAGTAAAGGAATTGAAAGTTGCTGGCTCAGTATTCTCCAACTTCTGCTATCCTGGTAGCAAAGGATTTGAATGAAGATAATCTTGTATATAACTTCACCAAAGGAAGGATCCAAATTTCCCTAGCACTTTCTTCACCAACAAGCAGTTTTTGAACTGTGTTTCCCTACAGATATGGTGTGTAGTCTGTGGGGATGATTAATGCCAAGTCCTAGACATGGGTGAGAAGAAACAGAATGCTCTGTTAAGAAAGAGGAGACAACCAATGAATTACCTTTTGCCTTCTGTCCACTAGGTCTCATATCATACTTATGCTTCCTCCACCCATACCCACATCCCACCCCCAACACTCCTGCTCACAAGCTTTGTCTAGTTTCAAATTCCCCTACCCCATTATATCACTGCACTAGCAAACTTAGATAAATAGTTTAAAATTACACGTTTTTAACAGGACTCACTGTTAAGACTTCAGATGTGCATCTGAAAACATCATGCAGAGTTTTGTTAAATTACCTGCTATATATTTCAAACGAATATAGGACTTGCCAAACTAATTTAGGCAACTAGCCATTTCATTTCATAACCCAGTGCTTTCCTTACAGCGGTAAATACCAGATTCTTCAAAGAAACAGCCACACACAAAAAAATCCCAAAGCTGACACTATCAAGCACCCCAACCATAAGAGAATTCCTGTTTTAAAATATCCCTTGAAGGTACAACTAAATCAACATAAACAGGAGGCGTACCCTTAAAGAGCAACCCCATTCTCCCCTGCTCTCCTGTACCAGACCTGGCAAATGCGTGACCACAAAGTGGGTTGATGCAGAACGCTATTCCAACAGAAAATCGTTAATTATTTGGGTGGAGTTAATGTTCCACTGGATTAGCCAACTCAACTCACACAAACGCCAGATCCTGCAAACAAGCAGAGAATTTGGTTAACCTTTTTTTGAATTAGATTAGTATGACAGCAAGCCAAGAGAGACATGAAGTCCTTGTGCAAGGCAAGCAGCAACAGTAAGGCTGTAGAGGGACAAGAGGCACACGGCTGCTCCATGCCACAGTAGATCATATTAGACTGGTTTAGCTCCAAGAATTTAGCTCTTAAGAAACTTAGACTACAGCCACACCATAGTCTGAGCCAGTTTAAATCAGAACAGCTGCAATATTACCCTCCGCTTTTTTCCATACATGCATTTCTATCCATTCCTGAGCACCAGTGTTGTGCATGTCTGATTCAGTAACCATTTCAGTCCACCAAAGAAGCTCAAAAATATTCCCTGATCTATGCAGTTGGACTTTTCCACCTATTTTAACTCAGCTTTTGCCTTGGAGATCTAGAGTACTACTGCCAGAGTGCAAAGGAACCAGGAATGCACAGCTCGGGTAAGCAGCCACTTATTCAAATTAGGCATAAACCATACTTATTTTCAAAAACTATGTGTTGAACTTAAACGACTTCCAAAACAGTTTAAGCACAAATCAGGTTAAGAGTTTTCTTCTAAACTTAAAGGAAAAGCTTTAATTCTACATTTCTTAACCTGTATTAACAATCATTTTTGGACTCATGCTGTGTTGAAGCACCTAACTAACTGCATGCAGTTCATCGTGTGGCCAGTAATACCAGAGCAAGGAGGGGTGCTTGGGATGCTGGGTCATCTCAAGTTCCAGCTGCAGAACAGAAGTCACCAGCAGGGAACTGCTGGGGCCACACCGTTGGCTTGCCTAGGAATCCAGCCACACTTCCCATCCAGCCCTCCAGTACAGCACAGTAATGCCCCAAAGAGTCACTACTGCTGTGTCCATGGAGTGCAACAACCCTGCCTCTCCCTCTCCCTTGGCCATGTCAGGTATGCAACAAATCTTGATATTCTCTGACATACACAGATTTTGTAAGAGCCTCAGCAACACCAAAGTTTTCCACATCTGCCTTTGGCTCTGGGCTTCAATGATATTTTCAATGTGCTTTACTGTCAAGGTACACACCACACAATTGGTGGAAGTACCAAAACTGAAAATGGGCCTGTGTCCCATTGTTCTGCTCAATTTTCCTAAGTTTAAAAGTGTCTTTTCCACTCTACCTCTGCGAGGTAAATTAATTTCAAGGTTTTTTTAACATCTTATGCTGAATTTTTGGTCTCTGAAGTCTTCAGCCATGCTCCTGACAGTCAGCAAGTCCACAAAGTTAAGTATTATGATTACATATGTGGCATCTCTGAAGGTGATATGAAGGTTTAAATAGCACCCTGTAATTTCCAACTTGTCTTTGTAAAGTTAACATTCTTTTAACCATTTACTTAAGAAATTGTCTAGGCTTTAAAGGAGAAAAAAGAGGTCTAATCACAACTGTGAGTATATGAAAACCTATTACTTCCTCTGATACCACCTATCACTGTCTCAGCCCTGTATTGCTAAGCTTTCAACACAACAGGAGAGCTGGAAGCAAAACCAGGTTATTATCCACATTCTCTTTATCAACTCCTCTATGCTGTACAAAGTTTTGCTCAACCTGAACCCATCACACAACAGCAGATAACAGAAAACGTACAGAATGCATTACCTCCTGGATTTTGTTCCAGGGCACCTTTTGCTAGGCCGAGGACTTTAACAAGAAAAATGAAACTAAACTTTTTCTTGTATCCTCCACCAGAAATCTATATCAAAATGTGGCAAAGCACTAGGAAAAAGAAAACTAGAAAATTAAGAGGGAAGATTTTGCATCTTTCTCCAAGGGGAAGAATTGTTTGGTATAAGACAACCGTCACACACACACACACACCCCCCCTCAAAAAAAAAAAAAAAAAATCACAACTAGCCAGTCCAGATTATTTATAAGGAAATTTCTATCTGCAATCTTTCAGCATTTTTACTTCACTCCTTCTCAAAAGGTCAGTTATTTACATAGCTTTGAATGAATACTTTGTTTGAAAATAAATTTTTTTGCATTCTTTCTAGTCATTTCCTTAATTTTTCTCATTCTTCTACCACACATTCTTCAGTATTAGTTTTCCAACTTGCATACTTTATCTTTTCTTCTTGTGATAGATGCAGCATTAGGAGACATTAAATGGAAGAGAGCAGAAAGGCCACAATTCATGCTTGACATATTTAATTCCCTAAAAACAGGCAGAAGACAGGAAAGAAGAAAACATCACCAAGACATAAAAACAATATGCTGAAGGGCCAATTATGCATCTTAGAGGCTGCAGCTGCAGTCCAGGATGGCTGCCTTTGCAGAACATACTGTCTGAAGGACAGCATGCTCAAAGCAGTAAGATGTCCAGACTTTCTGACAAAGTGCCTTGATTTGAAGACATCCTACAGAATTTCACGTCTCTGATAAAAATCAGACACCTCAAAATAAAGACACCTCAAAGACACCTCAAAAAAAATATCTAAATCAAAGTTTAGTAAAAGCAGAATCAAAAATTCTGTTTTCCCATGCATTTGTTTTATGCTTGATTTATGCTACAGTAAGGTACAAATTCTGACCAAAGTTCTTCCCCAGAGTCAGTTTTCAGATTTCCCTCCTACAAAGATTCCTCCATAAGGAACAAGGTGTAAGATCACATGGCAGCCTCTTCTTCAGGGCTGAGGATATTTTTATATTCTCTTCTCACACAGAAATATTCTAATACAACTTTCAGAAATGTAATTATTCCCTGGATATCCAGTGATTTTTTTTTTTTGACTGATATATGGGGAAGAGAAACAGAAGAGGTAAAGGTACAAAACAAGACTGCAGACTCCTTTAGGAAATTCAAATTTAAAAGTTTTTAAAATATTATAACAGTAAGTGTTACACATCTTGACATTGGTGGTATTAACATTCTTCCTATAATATAAGATTACTAGCTAAAGAATACTTTTACTTAACATTTCTAACACACCTTAACGTCCTGCTTTTCCTTTTTAATTGCCACAGGAAAAAAACAGCTAATAGGAAAACATAACAAAAATCTTACAATTTAGTTTTAAACACTGCAAGTCATAGTAACAGTTCAAGTTATTCTGATGCACACACTTAGCTTTTCAGTGCCGTTCTTTTTTGGCATATACATAACTTCATATCCATACAGCAACATGCTTTAGTTATGTCACGTTATTACCTCTAGCTCCATGACAATTTCTATGGTCCAAATTCCTGAAAATTCCTTTTAGTTTACTTAAAAAGTGCTTGCTGTCTTGGAGTCAGAACACAAACAGAAGAAAAAAGTCCCCCTGAAACTCTTAAAAGTGACCCATAAACTTCAAGTACCTATGCAAAAATTAAACTCTAATTTCTTAATTCAGAGGTTCTTATAGTCCTTATCTTGGAATCAACAAACTAAAGCCACCCTCCTCTCTCTTCTACAGGGAAGGCAAAGATAGTTCTAATATGAATTAGCAAAGTTAACAATTATATTTTATTATCACAATAAATGCTAAAGAATGTGTTATTACATACATCTATATTATTTAGATGATGTATGGTTGTCTGGCACACATGGAATTCATTATTTAAGAGTACAGATGCTCCATTTTACAATCTTATTCCAAATACCCTTTCAGCACATTCCCAGACTTAGCTCATTCTCACCAAGGTTTCCATCCTCAATGGTCAGCACCACTTCATCCATCACCAAGGCCCGGAAATCTAGCTCCTCTTCGCAGCACTTGGCCTTCAGCGCTCTCAGGATCTCCTGCTGAGGGTAATCTTCTCTGATGCGACGGTCTGTTAAGAACCACAGCCTGGGAGCAACTGAACTGCACATCTTGGGCTTGTCTCGCAACCTTCAAGGTTTCCCTTCAATGGAACTTCTAGATGGTGGAGAACATGAGACTTGTTAGAGTACATAGGCTCCTATCTTCATGTTCCCCACTGTACCAAGTCTACTCCCTTTGCACAAGTCAGTCCTTTCCAATGGAGTGCAACTTCCAAGTGGGAAAACAATGTCTACACCTAATCTGCAACTGAAGTAACAACAGAAACAAATCCCTTTACATTCAATGGAATGTAAATGTGAAAAATCAGGTCTTGGTCCTCATCCTAGTTTCATTCACAAGCAGTACACATTTGACATAACTACTAGTACTGGTAGTAGCATCCCTCTTTCTTGACAGTACTTAGGAGGCATGCTGAGGACTGAAAACATTTTGAATGGCCATCCCTGCAGGCTAGAATTTCAACATCATGACTAATTCTTTACAATCGGAAATAACTCAGACCCCCTCATAGGTACTGCTAAAACACTAGTGACAGACTTGATGCATCCCTTTCCACCATATATGGAAGACAACAGTGTGTGCCAAATTCTTTATGTTAAAAAAGCAGTCCAGCAGAAAGCAAGAAATCCATTAAAACAGAACTTTTCACATAAGTATTTCAAGACTAATTTGTTCTTACAAATACTTCACATCTACTGTGAAATATATTCAGTATTATCAAGAATATATTAATGGAAAAACCAATGGAACGAGAAGCAGTCACAAAAGGTTAAGAATACCAAACACAAGTACATACAAACTAAAGCAAAATCAAGGTTTGAAACTCAGTGCTAGCCCCTTCTTGCACCACATTTAAAAAAAAGAAAAAAAAAAAAATCACTTTTACTCATAAACCACACTAATGAATTGAGCATCAAAACCAGAAAAAAAAAAAAAAAGTTTCAAAACAAGGAATTTTAATGTTTAGAAGTTATAACAGCAAGGTACTTCTCCATTTCAGAGGACTTGGGACTATTTTTGACTATATACTAAAATATTTTAAAAGCTGTGAAACAATTACAGGTACGTTAAGGGACTACTCATTTACACTCAAGAAAAAACAAGCAGCAGCATGGTGTAGGGAAAAAGAATTCCGGAGAAAAACAGAGCTGTTTTCTGTGACACATTTTAAACTTTCTTATTAAAATAAAGAGGTAGAAACCATTGTTTTCACCAATATAACTTACATGAGTTTCAAACAGAATTAAACTCTGGGATAGAAACAGGACTGTTGCCTAGTAGACCTAATGACAGGGCCTGGTGTCAGCAGAAAATGCAAATGCAGAAAGGCCATATGTATACAACTGCTTTCATTTAATATTACAAAGAATTTTAGTTTCCGCAGTAAGTTTGGGGACCAAAGGTTTGAACAAGTATAAGAAAAAGCTGATTTTATTTAAATTTTAAAAAGAGTTTTTTCTACTAGTATGGCTTTTTCTTAACAAGATAAAACTTTAAGTGACCATTTTTATTCCTGATATTGAGAAGCATAATGACAACAAGCAAAGACTGTGACTTTTTTTTTCCCCCTGTTGCTTTGGTAAATAAAGAGCAACAATAAAGCCAAGGATTAAATTCCTTCATACTAACAGACTGAAAAAAAGCAGAAGCCAGGGAAAAGCAGTCACACATACAGACCTGCCCTTGAGAGCAGTCAAGATGCTCAAGGTAAAGAAGGAAAAGGAGTGTTTGCTCCCTGCAGGAAAATGGGTATGGGAAGTTGTAAAGAATATCTTTTGATGTCTCAAAGAAGCCCTTTTTTCTTTAGAGCAGGTGGAAGTGAAAAGGGCAAGATGAGGCTTGGGCCTGCAATGGCTGACAACCGTCAGATCCTGACCCACTTCCGGCTCTCTCAAAAATGGATTTATCTACACGATAGTTTACAGAAAACTTCCCGGGACAAACTCCTCAGCTAAGAATTGGGACAAGCTATATTTTTCAGAAATGGCACTGCTTCGGCATAGTTCAGAAGGCTTTTCTTGTCAATTTACCTTTATTTCTGCTATTTGCACAAATGACCGGGGAGACCAAACAGCCCCACCTACCGCCTCTCTTGTGAAAAGCAGCTCTACCAAAAGGCGAGCCTATCTCATTTTAAAAACCAGCTACAGAACATCGAGTACATTAAACAATACACTGATTAAAAAAAAAAATATATATATATAAGCCATTACAGATTTTCATCCTGTGTGGGATGGGGTTTTGGTGGGGTTCTTCTTGTTCTCTTTTTTTGGGGGGTTAGGTCCCCTCCCCTCAGTACAGGCTCTAACACTGGTACAAAGAAACAAGTATTTTCTCTCCAGCAGCCTTCTCCCCATTTTTGCTTGCTACTAACCCTTGATTTCTTTGCCAAGAGGGATCTACTCCCATTTTTCTCAAATCTCTTTTCTACATGGCCCCACCTCCACCCCCTTAAATCTGCAGAGGCTGTGCCATCATCTCTCCCCAGCTGCCATTTCAGCACTTTCTTTCTTAAAATCGGCAAAGGGTTGAAGAAGAAAGGAAAAAAAAAAGTATATATCCTTTTCTTTCCTCCATCTTTCTTCTATTTTTGAAAGGAGCTACAGCATCACCAAGAAGAGCCATCCAGATATTTCAATTAGTCCATTAAATGAGCAGGCATATCAAAATGCCTTGCGTATGGGTACTAATATTGTGTTTCATTTCCTCTAAATCCTAGAAGTTTTATAAATATATATACAAAGGCTCCCATCTCATCACGAGGCAAGCAGTTAACAACCTCAAGTCTGGAGGTCAAAATTAAGAATTTTAGATCAAGCTGCAAGCCAGCGTCAGAGGCAGAAACTAGTAACCCTAACTATCGGTTCCTTGACCTCTATGCCAATACCACTTTTTTTTTTTTCCAGGTGGAGAAATATCCTTTTCACACTAACATCCTGCTCCTAAAAACAGAATCTACTTATCAGTTTCAGCCTCTCCTTATAATCTCTATTTTGATTGTGTAAGAAGTCTCACAGAACACAAAACCTGCAATTTACCCCATTAACCCAAACATCTTAACAATCCCTCCCACATCCTCAAGAAAATGGTCTGTAGGAGGAAAGCTTGCCTTGCAGTCAGATGCACAAGAGCCTTAAGCTCTCACGTTGGATATGGATTTCCAGAAGTATTCCCTGAAAACCAACTCCACCCATTTCAATCTAAAAGACAATGCTGGGTGTGCATGGAATACTTCCTAATCCACGAGAGGATCTATTGCGAAATAAGTATAGTATAGATAAGGGGAAAAGCAGATGTTTAAATGTCTTCAAGATGACCAGCTGAAACGCAGTTTTCACTCAAAGCTACTACGGTCAATGTAAGTGCAATCTTTCAATAACTATTTAATAGATTTATGAAAAGGAAAAAATCATCATAAACTTGACTGCATAAAACAGACTGGGAGAGGGTAAGAGGGTGGCATCAAAGTTCTATGATAAAAATCAAACTGTGTCACACCAGCCAAGCAGACACTACTGCATCTGCTTCAGAAAGACGCTGTGTGGAACAGATTCTTAGCAATTTATAGAGGGAACGGAACGTTCACCTCAACTTTGAGCTGTGGCATCCCTGTACTGCTTAAGCTAGGCTTTATTCTGGCATTCACATGGCAGCTTCCTCCCCATCACATGCAAAGATATTTCCTCCTGCATTCCTTGAATCTGCAATATGCCTTCAGCAGCTCTTCTGACAAAAGCATTCACTGGGCTACTTTACTGCTTTACATCATATGCGAGTATGTTTTATTAACGTAACAGGGAATTCAGCCAATCAGATCATCTGTCTAGAGAGATCTGTTAACCTTCTCTGAAGACAGCTCTTTCTCCCTTGAAGGGGTCTTCTCTTCACAGAGAGGGCCTTAAAGAACTGCCTCCAGGTCTCCATCCATCCACTTACTCCTTGTCCTGTCTCAAACACCCAAAACCAGGAGAAAAACAAGCTAGTCTCTTTTTTTTTTTCTTTTTTTTTTCCATTGTGATCTATTTTTCCCTAAGCTGAAACAAGAAACCAGCTATTAGGAGATACTAATTCATTTACATAGTATTGATAAATGTGTAACATAAAAGCTATCAAGTAAGCAAGAAGATCATTCCATATCCCTTCTATTCAGAAAGCAACTACTTAATGTCTTTGTAAATTACAAAGACTAGGTTGTTTCTTCCCTATGTGAATGACAAATGGAATCCCAGATGATTTGTAGCATTAGGAATCAGTGGGATCTAGCTATCTCAGCTGCTCGACTTGTGATCTGATATTGTAGCACACTCCCACTGACTGTAGTGGGATCTGGGAAACAAGTTAATGGACAATTATTACCGTGAGCCCCTCCCAGAATCACCTCTTTTTTAGACCTTGGCTCAGACTCGGCCTCAGTTACAGCAGCTAACACAACTCCACGGATTTCAGCAGTTAATAGAGAGGTAAAACCTAATCCTACTTTTAGCACACCTCTAGACACGTTTAATCCCTACAGCTTAGATAATAATAAAAATCTCATGGAGGTGAGCAGGAAAGAGCAAAGAGACTGGCAGCCATGACTGCCATGGGAAATGGAAAACTAAGGAAAAATACAGCTCCAAGCACTCACCTCAGTGTGAGTAACAGTGCACCTTCACATTTATCACTGATGCATATCCCTTAATTCTTGTTTCCAGAACAGTGCTTGTTATTCAAGTTGGAAACAGTACTTTGCTTTCCTTTTTATAGTAAATTAGGGAAGGCTTGAAACTGAGTAGACACTTCCAATAAACCAATTGTCTCTACCATTACAGCAGTTTCTAGAATGCTATTTTGGAGGACACACCTCAAGACACTGAAGACCTGAGAACAGTTGGTGGATGCTCCTAAGTTATCTCCTGCTGGAGATACCTCCAGGCAGATCTGAATTAGAAAGTCAATCTTAGGTAGCAGACCGGTTAAACAGCAAAGGAAGGGTCATCCAGCGTTATGACCCGGCATATGATCTATCACATGCTGTCATGCAAGTCTGTCTCATCTGAATCAGAAGAGAGCAGTATTTGGAACAGCCCAGAAATACATCTTTTTGTATCACAGGGAGAACAGGTCTGAAAACAGTTCACAGCTGTTTCAAGTATAAAGCACAAATAATTCTTTACCACACAAAGATACCAGAATGATGCTCATCTAAAGAAAATCTTTAGGAAATGTGTATGGATGATTGATATAACCCATGGCGATATATACAGAGATAAAAACTGTCGTCTTGAACCACTTTTTAAAATTGCTTTAGAAAAAATAAATCCAAGGTAAACCAACTCATTCCTGACACTGCTGCTTCATGGTGATGCTTAAGGACAACCTCAAGAAAAATTCCTCCCTTACCTACCAGAGACTAGTTTTCCTACAACTGTCACGTAACTGTTTGAGCATCTCTGGAAAGAAAACATTTTAAAAAATTGAAGAATCTGAAAAATTAAAATATTTCTTTAAATGCATTTTATATGATATATTGAGCAGCTGCAGCGCAATCTGTCCAGTGCTGCTGCATTATCATCCGCCCTCTACACATGCATCACAGAATTTAAAGTCACTGCAGGCAGGTGAACCCCAAGCACACCTCTCAAAGCCTCTCACGGTATTCACCTCTTTCTGCCTGTGAGATTTGTAGACTGCAACACTCAAAGGATATGGGAATACATTAATCGTTCCCATTCATTCCCAGTACAACCCCCCACCCCCGCAGATGGGCAAGTGCACTCCCTGCGATGGCTTTCAACTGTCGGTCCCCACCTTTGCACTGAGTGATGTTAAAAGACGCTAGCAGCAATCCTTCCAGGCACAATTGCCTCTAAAAGGCTGACATCCACACCCGCCCTCCCCCGTCTTTCCTCCGCTGTGTTCAGGCTTGCAAGTAGGTGGTAACATTCCTCATTCACACACCCCAGCTCCTGATCTCCAGTGAATAATCCATTCTCTTCCCTCCCTGCAACACTAGCCCGATACTGGTCAGCAGCAGCTAGCTTTCTTACTTTGGCCTTCGTCTATTTTTTTCCTACAACAGGCTTTTTCACCCCCAGCCCGTGTGTGCACGCACGCCCGTGCAAACAGAACACCCCTTTCCTCCCACACCAGCCGCTTTCTCGAAGAGAGGTCCTTGCACCTCTGCCCAGGTCCCCCCGCAGCGTGGTCCGACACCCCCCTCTCGCCCCCGATCCGTGTGTACACAGCCAGTTTTCCCTCCTCCCTTCCCCCACCCCACTCGCTGTCTCCGTGCGTGCCTCTCCCAGCGCCTGGCGTGGGGGAAGGGAAACATGCACTGGATGAATGAATGAATGGGCTAAAGGGACTTACCAGAAATTTGGGAAGGAAGGAGTGGAAGACGAAAAAGACACCAAAGATGGGTGCTTCCTTCAGCTTGCCAAGTGCTGCTTCAGTTCTGGCTCCCTTAACGAGGTCACGTGTCTCGCTAGGTACCCCTTTTCCTGGATTCTCTACTAACCAAAAAGGGTGGCAAGGAAGTCTTCTGGATGCCTCTAGGCACTGCGCTCCAGAGGAGGGAAGGGTACTACTGAAGCTCCCCAAACAAGCAAGGGATGATGGTGAGGATAATGTTCTCCTGGTCCTATAACGGGCAATGTCTAGCAGATGCCTCAGGGACCAAGGTAGGTTTCTGAGGGGGGAAAGGGGGAGTAAATGACTGTTAAAATAATTCCCAAATTGTCCTCCCCTACGGGGGAGGAGGGATGGGAAGGAGGAAAAAGAGTACTGGTGAAGAGCTGTAGCTTTCTATGTAAAATAAGCTCAATCCTCGGGTCTCTACTTCCTCAGAACTAAACCCCTAAATGACTCTGAAGTCACCAACACCTAGGGAGAAAAAAAGGAGAAACATCCCTATTAGCCATAAACAAACATATAAAGGTATCTAATAAACTAAATCCCAACGGAAGAAAAGGAACTGTACAAGACAGTAAGTAAAGCCGAAAGGAAAAGAAGGGGTAAACACAGTTGGGGGAAATGTGCAACCGTAAATAATTTACAGGAATCTACTACCACAGAAACCCATTTTAAGGGGTGGGGAAAAAAAAAAAAAAAAAAAAAAAGCGCAGCAGTTTGCTCCTTTAATGAACAATGTGAATTCAAATGAAAGATGAATCTGTGTCCACACATGAACGTAGGAAGAAATGGAGTTTTAAAACCTACAAAAACTCTTCCTATTTATTTGTGCGAGTCTTAAACCCCTCCCCCAGAATAACATTTAGAATTCGGATGAGGAGACTGAAGAAAAGTATGTCTCAGGTCAGAGGTATAGATCGCTGTGCATTAGACCCCACTCTGCCACAGAAAATAAACAGCCATTTATAAACGGTGACCAGAAAAGCCCCAAAACAACATGTCTAGAGGGTGCCTGCTTAGATGATGGAGTTAAAACAGTCGCACACTTTGAAAACGGAGCCCCCGGTAGAGCCTAGGCAGTGAAGTCACCAATTAGCTCTTTAAACATCAGAAAACAAAAGAGGAGAAGAAACCTAACTGAAAGATTTCCTTGTGGAAGACTCAACGGCAGGCACACACCCCCCTACATCACGTGAAAAACTGCCCCCCACAAGCGGCGGATTTTTCACACAGGCGCGCACGGGAGCGGCTCCCCCCCTCTCGTTTCTTAGGGCTGCCTGCACCCACGAACGCGTGTGACCACGCCGGCGCCGCGCAAGCAAGGCGGGAGGCGACGAGAGCGCGACCCGCCCGCGGACCCCGCGGCTGCGAG